GTCACTCAGTGTTGCGTTACTCATTGTTGTGTTACTTCTTGTTGTAATTCGTGTTGCATTATTCATTATTGTGTTATCGTTATTAATACTCTTGATCGTAACTTGTACTGTTACTCGTTACTGTTACCAGGGCCTTCGAGAAGGGGATCTGAAGGGATTTCCCCAGGACCAAAAGAAACATAGGGCCAATTTTTATTAACAAAAAATAAAATCTTTAAGATTATTTTTATTAATAATGAAATATTGCACGATCTTCATTTCTTCAAAGAAAGAATAGCAAAAGGGGCCCGATAAAGAAAAAAAAGCCACTCCACTCCGAGTTCCATACAAGTTCTAGATTTCCTTAATTATTAGTCATTAATACGGTTCATATTTTATAAAAAGAAATAAATCATTCATTAGTAAACTCAATGGTTAAAGTAGCTAAATCTATAATTAAAATGGGCCTTAGGATATATTTTAAAAAATGCCCCAGAGCTACAACTAGAATTTTATAATTAAACTTTTGTATTTTAAAATTTTATTAGAAAAATAAATTTATTTTATTCTTTCTTATCACAGAATATATTCTAATGAAGTTATTTATAAATTTATAAAAAATAAAAAATAAACTGCATAATCCAATTGTAAGTGTATGACTCTAAACCAGTTGACTTATTGCTAACAACAACTCTTTATAATCTCATCAGTTCCAGCGTTCAAAATAAAGAATTATTGCATTTAGAGCCGAGTTAAATTTAAAATGAGCGATTTATTTTTAATGTTACACTTCTTAGAATAATTCAAATTATTCTCAAAAATTTAATTAGGCGTATACTTTGTTTACTTTTTTTCGACTAGTCTTATTTAATTTTTGACTTCCTTGTGCTTAGGTCACCAAGAGGGCCCTTTAAATATATCAATTATGGACCCGCCAGGGTCACAATGGGGTGAGGAAGGGGTCCCACGTATTCAGGTCCATCCCCGAAAACTTCTTGAAGTTTTTCGAGCGCCAGGACCCAGGTTCTCCAGAGTCACCACTCTAAAGGACCAGAGTCCTGGTGCTCGAAAAACTTCTTAATCAACGTGTAATTTAATATTTATTATTGTTAACACTTTCTGTCCTGTGGGCACTAAGATGGCGACTTTACCGTGTCAATTACGGGATCAGCCAGGTCTACAAGAGGAGCGGCCATCTTTTATTTATATATTTTTATGGCATTAGAAGAGTATTATAGTGGATACATGGGCGATCTGTCACAGAGGGATTCTGGCTCTCTTCATGTGTTTGACACGTGAATAACGCCTAGAAACTCCACGTGACCAGCGAGTTTGTCAAGAGACGGACAGTGTCCAGTGGTGTTCAATATTTTGCCACCGTACAGTATATGTAAGATTGAAGAAAATAAAGATCGTATCGCTTATAAATTATTTATTAAAGCATATAAATACAAGAAAAAATCATTAAACTTTTAAATAAATTACAAATTAGATAAATTATAGCAAAACGAATGTAATTCTGATGAAGATTGATAGCTTTTGCGCGAATTGGAAGACTTCATTAAGGAAAAATAGCGTGAATTTATTGCTAGATAATTTATTGTAATTTTGCAAGTAGTACAGCCAAATCTCGATTTAGCGCCATTATCCGTTTACTTCTGAAATTGGCAATAAATCGATTGTGAAGCTAAAAAGTAAGCCGAAGAAATTCAAACAATAAGCCTTTGTGTAATGAAATCTATAAGTAAATTTAAGTCTAGAGTTTAAAAAAATCAACTTTTGGCGATTTGCTGGTGTTGTTTGCAACGAAAAAGTGTCTGAAGAGTTCTCTATTTAATATTACAAGGATCCAATCACAAGTATTTATTGGCACTTTATGAGAGTATCGCTATATAGAGGTTTGGCTGCAATTTTACTGTTTGTTTGTTCAAAAACTTTACCAATTTTTTATATGTGTTCCTCGAGAATATATATATTATAGTAGGCTACAGATTATTTTATTCTTCAGCTAAATTACATGACTATCTGTTTAAGATTTTCAAGACAATAAACTTAAGGAGATTGATAATTGAAAATATAAGCTCTAATAACATCAATATTTTACTAACTAAGCTCTAAATATGTGAATATTTTAGTAAATAAGCTTTAAAATAGCTTATTAAATCTAAAGAAACAATTTAGCCGTAATGTAATCCATACAAAGACAAGGTAAACTACGAATTTCATTATGATTGTATTTATAAAAATATTATTCTACTCATGAATTGTAATAATATTCTTATAAATCAGCAATAAAATTACTTTCTCTATGATTGTAATCCATTATTTAAGAATAAATTCACGCTATAAATCCATATTTCACCTCTTAAGTTCATGGAAAATCCATCACATTCCATCAAAAACATATTCGCATCACTATTTTCTTTCTAATCCTCATTATAAATAATACTTTTTCTTTAAAAAATTAATTTAAATATAAAAACATATGTATTTTCTACATATATATATTTTTTTAGTTTTGTGACATATTTATCGGTATTTTAATTAATTTAGTCATATGAAACAGTGCTATTGACATTTCAAACTCAAGGGTTACCTACAACACAGTGAAGTCAAGTCATAAGGGGAAATTTATAATAAAAGTAAAAAAATACATATATATAAGCCAAATTATGATTTTACTACACTTTAAGCTGGCATTATTAATTTATGGATAAAAACCATTAAACATTGATTGGTCGTAGGTTTGCACCTGACCAGTAAGTGGTTTTTACCGGGTCTTCTCCACGTGTCTTCACTTTCTAACACTGATTCCTTCGTCAAATGACACTATGAGTAGACGTAATTAGTGATATTGAAAAATCAGTTATAAATAAAATAATCGAATCGAAATTATTTAGTTTGCAGTTGGATGAGTCAACTGATATCGATGGTAAAGCACAATTACTTGCCTTCACTCGATTTATTGAAGATGATGAAATTTTGGAAGAATTTTTATGCTCAAGGAATTCGAAAAAACTACGACGGGAAAAAATGCTTTTGATATCATGAACACATATTTTTATACAAATGGTCTATCTTGGAAATCTTGCGTGGGTGTATGCACAATTGCGCCCCTGCAATGATTGGAACTATAAAAGGATTCGTTTCATACGCTAAAAAGCGAAACGAAAACATTGTAACAACTCACTGCTTCATTCATCGTGAATCATTGGTAGCAAAGACAATAGCCTCTGAACGCAAAAGAGTGTTAGAAGAAATCATTAAAATGGTTAATTATATCAAAGCTAGACTATTAAAATCGCGTATATTTGCAAAACTATGTGAAGTCTTTAAAAAGTCTTTTTAAACTTCTGGCAACAAGTAGCCTACAAGGAAAGGTCTGTTGCCAAGAACGTGTATTGTCTGGAACACAGAAATAATAAATGGTGGTCCCTTTTGGGCAGACCGTCTTCAATTTTATTTATTTAAGAAATTTAATATTTTTTCAACATGAAAACAAACCAGAATTTTGTGTATTATTACAAAACGATTCTTGGTGTTCCAAACTAGCTTATTTAACAGACATATTTGATCACCCGAACAAGTTAAACTCAAGCATGCAAGGTAGAAATGAAAATATTTTAATATCTGTAGATAAAATTAAAGCTTTTAAAGATAAAATAAAAATGTGGAAGATAAAAGTAAACGCAAATAATGCAGAAATGTTTATTCAAGTGGCCAAAGGAAAATATAACAATACAAATTTGCAAAAACTTATTTACAGTCATTTAACGTCATTAGAAGAAAAAATTAACCATTATTTACTTGAAATATAAGTTGATTTGTACGACTGGATTCGAAATCCTTTTGTAGAGGCATCAGAAATAAGTAAGTTCAGTCTTGCAGAAGCCGAAGAATTAATTGATATACGTAACGATCGTACGTTAAGATTGAAGCATTCAGAAATGAGTCTGAATTCATTTTGGATAACAATTATGAAGGAATTTCCCAATATAGGATTCAAAGCACTTAATATTTTATTGCAGTTTTCCACACCGTATCTCTGTGAAGTGGGATTCTCTACACTCGTAAATATTAAAACAAAGAAGAGAGAAAGGACCTTTTTGTAGAATTTCTTTTATTTCAGTTGGGATGTGGATTTGGTCCCATAGAACAAAAGGCGATGGGTTTACGTTCGTTTTCTTTTTTGTTACTTGCTTATTCAAGATCCACTTCATTTTCTTGATATATCTTTTCCTTAGACTTTTTTGTACCTTTTCTGTCAACCCGACCACTTTCGCATTAAATTCATTGAGACTTCCTGGGTGGTTACTATATATTTCATTTTCTAATGCAATAAGATCTTGTAACATTCCATACCTTTTATTTTTTGCAATTCTGATGGATTTACGTAGACATTCTTTTCTAATTTTTTCTTTCAACGAAGTGCATTCCTTTGGAAGACATATTCTATAGATGGACATTGGGAAAACTCTGTTAAGCCGACATTGCTTAAGAAATTCCAGCTTACTATCCGCCTTTATTAATTTCAATGCCAATTTCCTATATTCCTTATATTTTCTGGCCGGTGTCGCCATATTGCCAATAAATTGGATATCCACTCANTTTTAGGTGAGTCCTTATTTGAGTTTGTTAAGTGTTTGATCTGATGATGAGATGAAACAGTCTTGAAAAACATTTAATTGAAAATAAATAGGTTGACTGTTTGAATTTTTATTGCAATTGTTTCTAGAGAATTTGATCAGGTATCAGCATTATTCTAGCCTAGAAATTGATATGCAGATTTCTTTTAATTTTTTTATTAAAATTAACTACATCAATTTTAAATTTAAATAATTTTTCTTTTATTGAAAGGTCATTTCTTTTTATAAAAATTGCTCATGTAACTATTATTTATTTCATCTTTCTAATGCAATAAATATTTTAAATTTTTACTATTTCATGATCCTCAAAATATATTCCATTTCTTACTTATATTAGAATTTAAAGTGAAATTTGTAGGTAGAATATTTACATTTACATAAATGGTTAAGTTTAAGAGCAAAAATGAACTGTAATACATATAAAAATACTAGTTACATTAGAAGGAAGAATAACCACAGAAATCCATATGCAAAGATGATGATTCTAAATTTCAGTGCTTGAATTTTCATATTTTCCAGTGTACACAATTTCTTTCACACTAATTTATTGCTCAAATACTCCATTTAAGGTATCTGTAATTTAAATAGACACAAAGCACAATAGAAATTTATCTAAATATTTCTAAAACTTAGTCAAATAATTTTCAGTTTGTTGCATGTTATCTGTCACATTAGAAGTATGGTAAGTGTGATGTTGACTAATAGTTATTAATCAATGATCTTTTGCATTGATACTAATTTGTATTAATTGAGTATTATAAGTTTGATAGAATATAAATAGCAAGTATTGTTTTATTTATTTTACAATACAATTGTTAAATACGTTAACAAAATTTAAATTTGTAGAGACGATGACGATATCAATGATGTTGCGGCGATGGGTGGCGTCAATCTAGTGGAGGAGAGTCAGCGTATCCTAGCATCAAATGCAGAAATTGTAGGAACACAAATTCGGTCTTGTAAAGATGAAAACTTTGTTTTTACTGGTGCTCTTCAGAGAAGGATTAACATGATAGGTAAGAAAATTATCTATCTGTTAATCTTATCACTGTTTTGAGAGACACTGTACAGATGCTTGTGATATAAACTAACAAATTTCCGAAAATATTTTGTTGTTGTATTTTCCATATTTTCTTTCATTTTTATGTTCAATGACAAGTTTTTCACAATATTCATATTTTTAAAAAATGTTTTTATAGTCTGTTGTAATAGCTTCCAAAATGAGACAGAAATTAATTTTTGTTAAAAATTTGAGCTAAATTGCATTTGCATTTGTAAAATTGACACTAGTAGGATCATAGTACAAATTTCAGAATTTGCTTTAAACATATCTGTGTGTCTAAATATATAGTATAAAACTTATACAGTAAAACCTGTGTAAACCAGGATTTAAGTTTCTTTTAATGTAGAAAATCACTCCATTCTGAAGAATTTTTTCCATTTAGGCAGATTTGTTTTATTCAGGTTCTGTTTTGGACTGGTTTTATGGTACAAAATTAATGCATTTATATATATATATATATTAAAATTAAGTTTTCTGACAGAGATGACTAAAAGTTTATAAGAAATAATTTTTTAATGATGACTGTTACAATAACCATAAACAAAGATAATCATTGTAGATGTGTATGTGAATCTATTTATGTGTATAAAACACATTAATCACAATTTAGAAGTTTAATAATCTGCATACATTATCAAATATCTTTTTATTATTTTAGAAGACATTTGCAGATATCTGTGTGCTTGGATTAATTATTATTTAAAATTTTATTAATATTTGTGAAAATTTTATCTTTCTTGAAATTTAGATACTAAATAAATCATTTATAATAGTGACAGTTTTGAAGTACTGTCACTTCTGTTTGTTACTATAAAATGCAAATTGTCTGATAACACCAAGTATTATTACATTTAAAAGAAGAAAAAGCTATTTTTGTTAACAAATTATCAAATTAAAGCAATAAGTACTATAACATTTGACAAACAAAAAAAATAAAGTGTAAAGTTTAAAATAAACTGGCTATACTGGTACATACATACATACTTTATTTTATATTCTTATTACATTGTATTTTCTCAATAAAAAATAATTTGTTTCAAAACTGCTATGAGGATTGAGTTCAGTTTAATTTATTTAGTGAATTTCATTTTCTTGGATAATGGTGACAAATTGAAAGTAGTATTAATAGAATTGTGTGTCAGGTTTAGCAAATAAAATTCCAAATTAATTTCATATTAAAAGTATGGTATCACATTCTTTAAAAACATCATGTTTCAATATTAGAATCCCAATAAAAGCATAAAGTTGTTAGTAGCTTCTATATTTTACTAGTCAAAATGAAGGATATTGGACTGTTTTTAGAGGGTTGATGGTTCAGATCTCATGTTATCTTTATTTTGTCTTCAGCATTTGTAAAAATAAGTTAATCTGGTAACCAACTTTATATCATGTTTTATAATATTTCTGAGGCTTTTGTAACTTATTGTTGAAATTCAGAATTTTTATTTTGGCTAGTATTGATTATTATAGGATTGTCTCTCTCTAATTATGTATGTCCTTGAGTTTGTACAGTGGAAGAATAATTATGTTCAGTAGAAAATATAATAAACTTGGGAAAAAATTAGAAACCTATTCAAAAGCATTTGCCTTAATGGAGGAAAAATAAATAAATAAAAAAAAAATAAAATAAAATAAAAAGAAATAGAGATGCATTTAGTGCTTTCAAGCTTTGAACTGTTTTGTCAGAAATGCTAACAAATATGTTATATCATTGAAGTTGAATTTGAAAGGCTTGAAAGTACTAAGATGCATCTATGTTTAAGTATTAAAACATAAAAATATCAAGTAAGTTTCAAATGCCTTATTACCAGCAAGAATTTTTAATAAGAACAAGTATTTTGGTCTAATTTACACTATCTTTGGATTTTCTCACTTTTCAAAAAGATTCTTATTAAAAATTCTTCCTAGTGATAGTATTTAGTATTGAAATCAGTAGATAGTAAAACAAATATAATTTTCCTTCTTTAAACAATTGAGTTTATTTTATTTGTAAAGATTCTTTGATAGAAATATACTTATATAATTAATTTCCAGTATCAAACATTTATTAATGATTACAAAAGTTTGGAGATTGATGAAATCACTATCAGTTAAACTTTATTAATAATTAATGAATCTTCGTTATTAGGTTAAATTTACTTTTTTAAATTAACATAATTAGATTAATAATTTCTTCAATTTATTTAATCAATTTTTACTTGAATATAAGAGTAGATTAAGTTATATTTTTAAGCACTCATAAATTTCCTAAGAAATTAAAATTATAAAAGCAATTTTGAAGAGAAAATTGACTCTGTAAAGTTTCATCATATTAATTTTGAAAGAAATGATTTAACTATTCATAGAATTTACTAACAAAATTAACTCTAAAGATATTTTTTCCTCTTTTAAAATTAAAATTTCTTTAATTATAACATATATTTTTTAAATTATTTTTAAGCATCCTATTCAAGAACATATTTATTGATTTTTCATAACTTTACTTTCTTCCAATTCTTTTTTATTTTTGTATTAATTTAAATTTTTGTTCATTGATTTAGCGGCGAAATACGGTTTAGGCGACACTCCTTCGGATGTTTTAAGTTTAATCTCACACGCCACTCAAGAAAGGTTGAAAACGTTAGTAGAGAAATTAGGTATAATTGCTGAACATCGAGTAGAAAATATCAAGGTAATTTAGAAATTCTTCTCCTCTTCCATCTCTTTCTCCTTTTCCCTACTTTCTTCTCATCCTTCTCCTCTTCCTTATCCTTCTTGAAAACACTCATCTGGTAATTTGTTTGAAACAGAATGATCCTCGGTATGAAGTAACCCAAGATGTCAAAGCCCAGTTAAAGTTCCTGGAAGAACTGGATAGGATAGAGAAAAAGAAACATGAAGAACAAGAGAGAGAGATGCTGTTGAGAGCAGCAAAGGTTTGTTTTTGTTCATTTATTTTGCTTTACGAGATGAGAATCACTAAAATTAGCTTGTAACAAAATACATTTAAAATCATCTTTAACCATTTTCAGAGTCGGTCTAAGTTAGAAGATCCAGAGCAGCTGAAACTAAAGCAAAAAGCCAAAGAGGTAATTCATATTAATTACTTCAATATGTGGCATTATCTAGTGATTAATACATTAAAATGCTTGTAAACAGATGCAAAGAGCAGAGATGGAAGAGATGCGTCAGAGAGAAGCAAACATGACAGCACTCCTCGCCATCGGTCCCAGAAAGAAATTAAAGCCCGATCCATTAGGAATAGGTCTCAACCAACAGCTAGGCCAAAGTAGTCCATCTGGTATCAACAATACAATTGTCAAACCTCAGGTATTTAATCTATTCGTCATTGTTAAAATACACATCATATTTGTATATTATTATATGATTAATTAAAAGTATGTAATTTAATTTTAAAACGCATATACCACAATTACTCTTCTAAAAAGAATAAATTTATAAAACACATTTTAAAAAACTTTTTAACGTACTGTACATTTTAATATAAAAATATTTAAAATTTTATTTAATAAAATTCATGTAAAATATAATATACAGGGGTACCAGTTTATTATATTTTACAAATTAATTATGCATATTTTGTTAAATTAATTTTATTTTAAATGATTTCGATTATAACCCTGTCAAAAATAATAAAATTAATAGTATTAATGACTAAAATTAGTTATTTTTATCAGTTTTTTAAAGTATTTTTTTATCAGTTTGGATTTTACAAAAAGAATAATAATAAAAATATTTAAAGCAATTATTAAATTTCAAGAAAATAATTCTTTGAATGCGTTGGTTGGTTGAATCGCGAGGGAGAATGATGACTTTTTCATACAAAAGTTCGACAGGAAGTTCATCTACTGTTCAAACTTCTTTCCTTAACTTTTAAAGCTATAAAACAGGTATTTTAACATATAAATGTAAGTTTTAATCTAATAATATGTAAGCAACAAACTTGACTTTTTAAATAGAAATATATCGTTTGCAATTCTAGAATATTGATCCTTAATCTTTCTTGTCTTGTCTTTTCTTGTGGTGATCTAGATTAGAGCCAGGGTGGTGACTTACTCTCCAATATGATCTCTCATGACCTATCGATAGTTATGTACAGTACAGACCGAGCGATGAATAATGTTGTTTCAGTGTACTTAGCCTTCGATGTACGATACGTTGGAGTAGCAAGGGAGTTCAATTTGTCGAATGTATATCACTAAATGACCTAACGAATCCTTAGAAACAAAAATAACCACTAATTTCCTGACAGGTACTGTTTCAATAGGATGGTGCACCTCCTCATTGGGCAGTTTCCTTACGTAATTTGCTTGATACAGTAATAGGGCCATGGGAACTAACTTCCTGGCCCCCTAAATCGTCTGACATAATCTCACTGAATGCCTTCTTGTGAAGTTATGTCAAAGAAATGTGTACCGAACATCCGGAAATGGATACAGAATTGGAAGCAAGATGTACTGAAGTGTTAACAGCAATATTTTCCTTCTTTATGTATGTAATAGTCTTTATGTTTATGTCTAGAATATATTATATACGTTTTAAACAATACTGACAAGTAACGCGAATATTTATTGAATACTCGGTTATTGTTCAGTATTGTTTAAACAGAGTACACGCATAATTTTAATTTACTATATTGTTTATGTGCATGTAAGGAAAGGTTAATGATTATGTAATATATAGTAATTTACCTTTGGACGTAATCAGGGCGTTGCCCTAATATAAATGCGGTAATCTAGAATGTAATCAATAGCATTGTCCTCCCAATACAGCTATGAGTATGGATGTAACTACGAGCGTTGCTCCAATATAAGTGTGGGGATCTGTGGATTGATCCAAATAAATATTATGTATATCATTTTCTATTCCATTCAAGTTCTTATCAATAAATTCTTGTTTAAAAGAGGAGGTAGGCTAAATGTTTTATTATACGTACAGATTTAGCCTAATAGTGAAGTGGCGTAATGGTTCTATCAACGTTTACATCTACTACAACACAAAGAAAATTTGTACTTGAAATTCTACCGATGTTTCTGTTATTATTTGTATTCGAAAGTCATTCGTATCGGCTTGATTATATAGAAGATAATTGCATTTATCAGTCTTGATTCGTAAATTATTAGTTTTTACATAGTTAAATAAGGTATTTAATTAACTATTTATCGTTTTTTCAAATGATAGGAAGTGTGATTAAAATATCATTAACACATAAATTAAACAGGAGTGGTCAGATAAAACACTGAGCCTTATGAAATTGCTCGGATCAGTTTAAACTTTTTGAAGATTGCAAAATTTATTTTTACATATTTTCTGCTTTCTTTATATGTAACAGATGCCATAACAACAGAGATCCATGCAAACTAGATGCATGGAAATTAGTTCGAAGTGGCTAAAAATATTAAGTGAGATATCAAAAATTCTCATCCCTCGCTACTGAATGGTGTTAGTACTCATTCATAACAGAGGATGATGAGTATTTTCGATAAGAAATTTATATACAGTAAAAACTCCACAATACTATCTTACTTTTCATGCATGTATGATTTTCAGAATAAAATTATAGTACTTATTTTCCAATAAAAACCTAAAAATAATACTTTAAAATTTATATGAAGCAACATACGAACATGCGTAGATAAAAATAGAAGGAAAAAATGTTACAAAATAGACATTACTGTGAACTTTGATATAACTCTTGATAATTTTTAGCTATAATATAAATAAAAAAAATAAAAATAAGTATATAAAAATAAAGAAAAGCTCGATATAATAAACTTTATAATAATTTTTAATTAATAATGTATAATGTGCATTGAGTGCATCATAAACAGGTAATCCAGATCAGTAATAATTCTTTAAAATTTGCAAAATTTCTCATTAAATACGCTTTTAGTATGTAAAATATAAATCAATTTTCCATTTTCTCTTAATTTTTAATAATTTTTAAAGTCAATTTTTAAAGATAAAATTCGAAAAATATAAGAGAAAAAAGATTTTACTATATTATCGGTAATAATAGGCTAATGTTACGTGTAAGCATTCATTATAAAAGATTACTTTTTCGTGATCACCTTGGCACGATGAAGATCACGTGAGCTGATAAAAACAAGGGATGTAAATATACCTTTTTTGTCATGTCACGTGATCGAGAGACCATTCACTTTGGTCAAGAATTAAGCATCGTTACTCGATTCGCTAAAGGCGATTTTTCAAACAGGAAACGAAAATTCGTTTCTTCCGGGTTAATTTTTCGGTTAATCGTAGAAAATTTAATGGTAGAAAATATATTTAAATACTCTCTGGTATAATCAAAATACTTACGAGGTTAGTTTTTGTGAAATTTATTTTTTTAATTTAATTTCTTTTCTGCTTTGTTTTTTTTTAGGTTTGGAACTCCAGTTGTTACGAGAATTACGCTTGGACGTATGGGAAAATTTATACAGATAAAGGTGATATCGCATGGGGAGTGATCGCTATCAGATCATCTTGCAATTGTGCCATTTGGAAAAATTGAAAAAATATTTATTTATTTATTTATTTATATTTTCTACATAATTTATAGTTTTATATATCTTTCGACTTTTGTTAGAATTTTCCTTAAAATTAATTTTATGTTCGAAAATTTTATAAAGTTGCTTGTTTATCAGCTTTCGTATGATGTTCATTATCTGTGTTACTGGTAAAAACAAATAAAAGTAACGTATTCTGGTCGTCTAATTTTAAATATAATCTTTATTTATATTATTCTGATTTTAATTTACGGTTTTCTGCTGTCAATCGGATGAAACTTTCCTTCTAATTTTAACCAATCCATTCCCCCATCTCTCTTCCTTCCTGAATGACTTCTTAGTCTTTGTTGACTAAGATATTTCTTCTTGATCTTTTACCGTGCAGGATCTGGACCTCTTTTCTTGATCCTTGACTGTGGAGAACCTGGAACTTCTCGATCTTTATACTTGTACATCTCTCGATCCATGATCATCTGTGATGCGCTTTAATCTATTCGTCATTGTTAAAATACACATCATATTTGTATATTATTATATGATTAATTAAAAGTATGTAATTTAATTTTAAAACGCATATACCACAATTACTCTTCTAAAAAGAATAAATTTATAAAACACATTTTTAAAAAACTTTTTAACGTACTGTACATTTTAATATAAAAATATTTAAAGCAATTATTAAATTTCAAGAAAATAATTCTTTGAATGCGTTGGTTGGTTGAATCGCGAGGGAGAATGATGACTTTTTCATACAAAAGTTCGACAGGAAGTTCATCTACTGTTCAAACTTCTTTCCTTAACTTTTAAAGCTATAAAACAGGTATTTTAACATATAAATGTAAGTTTTAATCTAATAATATGTAAGCAACAAACTTGACTTTTTAAATAGAAATATATCGTTTGCAATTCTAGAATATTGATCCTTAATCTTTCTTGTCTTGTCTTTTCTTGTGGTGATCTAGATTAGAGCCAGGGTGGTGACTTACTCTCCAATATGATCTCTCATGACCTATCGATAGTTATGTACAGTACAGACCGAGCGATGAATAATGTTGTTTCAGTGTACTTAGCCTTCGATGTACGATACGTTGGAGTAGCAAGGGAGTTCAATTTGTCGAATGTATATCACTAAATGACCTAACGAATCCTTAGAAACAAAAATAACCACTAATTTCCTGACAGGTACTGTTTCAATAGGATGGTGCACCTCCTCATTGGGCAGTTTCCTTACGTAATTTGCTTGATACAGTAATAGGGCCATGGGAACTAACTTCCTGGCCCCCTAAATCGTCTGACATAATCTCACTGAATGCCTTCTTGTGAAGTTATGTCAAAGAAATGTGTACCGAACACCTGTTAGTAACGTTACTGTTTTGAAAGGTCGTTGCAATGTTAACAGAAAATACTATAGAAGATTTAGTTACAAACCGTTGAACCTGGTAATTAGTCGTGGGATAGCGCCTGAGCTACGGACTGGCCAAGTAGATTTTTCCCGGTTTTCTTCAAGTGTTTGATACCCGTATCTGGTTTAATAGTTCAGCTTCTGGTTTTCATAGATTTAAACTGTATGCAAGAGCTGGACTATTTGAAAAATAACACATTTTCACTATCCTTGCTATTATATATAACAGAGAGGAAGTATGGCTATTGATTGGAGATTGATTCCCCCAACAATTTTACATTTTTGGACTCAGGGTACTTCGAAACATCGAGAAATGCAAAAAAAACAAAAAAAAAACAACAAAAGAAATTCGGGGAGATATTCTGTATATATTGCTGTTAGTATGTGGGGGACGAAATTTTGTTCACCCGCTTTGAAGCTTAATAACACCCGTTTGTCAAAATTTTCTAAAATTTTGCAAGAAGGTTTGTTTATTAGGGGGATTGATGCTAGTAAATTTTGGTGGTTAAAGGTCAACCGGATGGGGAAAGAATTAGAATCGCGTGTCGTACAGTACATACCTTGATTGAGGTCGGGCTTAATGAAGATTTTACAACTTATTAGTAGGCCTATATACCATTTTTTTTTAAATAAAACTCATCCCTACCCTCAAAATTAAGCTGTGTTCGGTGGTTTCATCCATCGGCCACTGGTAAGATAAATTAGAACTAGGAACCAATTTAATGTGGTGTCCCTGGGCATTCGCAGGTGGAGACTCCTGTAGCGACTGATGCTCATGCAAATAAAAATAAAATGTTATAAATGAAAAAGTTATATACTATATTATAAAAATCTATAAAGAGATTCTACTGCAGCGTTCTGTACTTTAAGTGTACATGAAATATAGAGTATATACGAAATTTATAAATATAGCCTGCTGTATTTCGTTTCCCTTATCAGTGGCGTGTTGTAGCTTCATGAAGCCCAGGCGAATTTGAATTAGGGCGTCAAGACGAATACGAAGTCAGACATTTTTCTTCGGGGAATTTTTTAGGAAAGTATTTTCTTATAAAAGATTGGTTTGGGGTCCCTGTTGGTGGAGGATCCAGGCAATTATCCTTTTTGTCCGTAGGATAACTTGCCACTGCCCCTTATTTCTTTTCTTTTATTTCTTTCTTTCTCTGTTTTTAGTTTTATTATTTTTTGTTTGAGGTCCTTGGGCACGTGCCATAAATATCCGCCCTTAAATCCGTCGGTACTTTTTACTGAGATTAAATATTCATGTCCTTTTAAAATAAATTTTATAGACGCAATTATTATAAGACAATTCGTTATGGATGCTTATTGTGATCTATACTTCAAAAGTTTACCCTTCCGGTACATCTATGTTTGAATAGAAATTACAAACCCCTAATTTTAATATCATCATAGTAATGAATCACTGACGAAAAGACCAATAGAAACAAAACCGCATTATCAGTGCCTGCATCCTCCTTGCGACATGGTTCAAAAAATCAACTTGCACGCAAAAATTTTCCTACAGAAGCATATTTTTTATTATTTATTCTATTTTTAAAATAATGTCTAATCAATTATTACAATTTAAAATAGGTAAAATATAAAATAATTCAATTTTTATAGAATATAAATAGATATAATTTCTGATATATTCTATAAATTCCGGTTAAACTATTGAATTCCTAAAAAATACAACGAAATTAATATAGTTGACTTATTTATGTAGCCGTGCATTCATGTTTGAAACAGTTTGTATTATAACTATTTGTCATATTTTAACTATATATAAGCTATAGTTTCGATTTAAACCTTTAGTTTCATCATCTTCTTGACTTTCTTCAGGTAATCAATGAATATAGGATGTAACTTAACTCCATTTACATGGCTCTAGCCTATCAATAAGTTTGTCACTCCTCTACTTGATGTCTTTTTGACCTTAAATTAAGTTGATATCATTTTAATATATAATATATTATTGTTTACGTAAATTTTGACTTTATATACAAAAGTTAAATGAGCAAAGAAATCAATAAAATAATACAACGAGACATCAGAATCAGAGTAAATTAACTGTAGATTACTCGCTCAAAATGGTTAATCGTGGTATATAATCTACGTAAAATATATGCTGGTGTAGTTGCCGATATGAAAATTCCATATATAATTTAGGATTCCGCACTGATTTTTGTATAGACAGTTTACAATACTTTTATCAGTGCGTAAATCAGTAAAACGTGTTACTGTAATAATTAAATTATCCACATACATACACATACGCATGTAAATTCTAACGGAGTTTGTCGTCTATAAAGATTTCTAGAAATATGGTATGGGTAACTTTATCTACATTAGCATTATTAATATGAAGTAGAAAATAGTTTAGATTTGATTAATGAAAACATAAATATAGAAAACAACGTAAACACGACGTTTTTATTCGCATTATTGTAGTTTTTCATCGTTTTCAGTGAACGTATTATTATAAATACATAAAATATGAGAATTAATTCATGTTTATTAATAAATTAAACGCATTTTTTTTTTACATTTTTGCATTAAGTCTAAATGCCAACAAGTGGTGGGGTGGATAAAATAACAACACTAGTAGGTGGTCATGGGTTTGCACCTGACCTATCTCTAATCGGGTTTCCTCAACACTTAAATAGGGACCAGTTTCCTATAAAGTGTCCCTTACAAGGCACTTATCTTGCAAGATTTTTCACAGTTCACTTAGCCCTTGTGCTGCGTTGCTCTGTTACATCACTAGAACTTTTAATAGAACCTAGTACATAATGTTTTTCAGCTGTAATTACTAAATGCTTAGTATCAGTTTTCAGAAATTAGTTCGTCACTAGGGTTGGTATCACTCCGTGTGATAATTCATGTCATCCTCATGAATCTCTTTTCGCGACAAACCATAGAGAATCGTTAGTAATGTTTATTCTTAGTACTAACGTTTACTCATACATGTAATGAGTAATATAATTCATGTATATTACTGATTAAATGACAGTAACATAAACAACGATCAATTATTTACTGTGACGACGTCACAATATCGGGCTGCAATTTTTGATCATATTTTAATTAAGAAATTAATCGTGGCCTCCACCTTCTGGATCCACTGTAACTGTATATATGGCACGTCTGTAAGAATTCGTAGTATTCAATGTATTTCCGATCAATGTAGTATTCGAGTATACGCGGATAGTATTTCTAATGTAGTATGTTTATGAGTACGTGTTCAATATAGACTAAATGACGCCAGAACTTCTAAAAGTTTGACATTTTTTTTAACGATTACAATACAAAGTTAAGGAACTCTATAATATATTTTGAAGCACACAATGAAGCATGTCAGAATATAAATCAAAACGTCATTACAGGTAACACAACATGCGACGGAACAGCACAATTTACGATGCTCATCTTGTTCTATAAAGAGGCATAAGTACACCTCATTGTACTGTACAGTACATTGTAAAATATAAATAAAGTGGCACAAAAAGGATTAAAAATAAATGTACATATATAAATAGTTGCAATATTTGGAAGCACCACAAAATTTCACATTAAACTAAAAATCGTGACGCATTTAATGTTATA